CTTTCTCTCTTCCTGCTAACCATAAGCAAATGTAAATGTAATCGGATATTTTGCAAACATTGTGCACTCATACGTCTCCGACTTGAAACTGCCTGAAACTTACTCCACATCCATTAGGGATGTCCTAGATAGGGTGGTCTATGTATTCTGATGGATTGATGGTAAGAGAAAGAGATTGCGGTCTGACAGTGGCTTTTGCGGTCTTGTTGCGCGTCTTCGTCCATTAGAGGAGCTTGCGAAAAGTGTCATTTACAACAGATGTCAGAAACAATCAGCGGCGTAAATAAGTCATAAGACGCACACACACGGCAAAGTTCAGGCCCCCCTCCCATCCCCCTCTATAGAGAAAACCCCCGTGTGGCAAGGTAATCAATAAGCTTGGTGCCACCGATTGCGTGCGGCTAATTAATGGTTTGAGGATGATGGAAGCACAGGGGGGAAAAGGTGTCAGATACAAAACAAAGACATCGCGGGTCAAAACTGTTAACAGTTGAATGGGCGAGAATTATGGAAAACTTGGCTTGGTCACTGTGCGTGTTCGGGTCCAATCAATACCCAAATTGTGGTAATCAATTTTAATTAGAGAGACGCAAGCCCACAACCCTTCAAGCAGCTCACTCAATTCTGTCCAAGCCGAGTCGAGTACGAGTGGAGTGAATTGAACGCTCCTGAATACTCGGAATCTGAATGTGACTGGACTGCCATTGACGTAGTCAAAGCCCAGCTCATAATCCGAACATAATGCTCGACAAGTACTGCTAAAAAAACCCTTTAACTATTAAATTAAATTAAATTAAATTAAGAATCTGTGAAGAATTTAAAACAGATAAGCTTAAAGAAAACAACTTTAATACAACCTTAGAAATAAGATTTAATCGGTTGGTGTCTTATTTTACATTTGAAACTTTAACTAATATTTCGAGCATGTAATTGGAAATTGGAATTGTTATCTTGTAATGTGGTTGTAGTGTTTTTATTGTATTTACTTAATATATTACAAGGTCATTCCCAATTATTCCATGAATTCTTGCAGTGCATAAAAGCGTTGTGATAAATTTCGGAGAGGGGAATTGAGCTGGGATTTTTGCTTATGTCAAAATTCGAACAATGGCCAAGTGGCTGGCCCAAAATTGAGGCTGACAGCCCTCATGGTCGCCTCACCCTCATCCAAATTGAAACGGATAGACAGGCGGGCCACACAGCAGAGGGATCCAGTGGGTGGAGATTTGGGAGAAGGAATGAAGCTGGCCATTGCATGGAAATTGAAGCTGAAACTGCCAGGGGATAGAGGCTTCAAAATTCCATTATTAAGATTAGACCAATTGTTGTTTTGAATTCAGATGCCTTGAATGCAGGGCGCTACATGTTCAGTTTATACCCCGAACAGCTTAGGCAGGTTCTGACAATTTCATTAAGGGATATGGAAACTACGATCAATGGGTGTAATCCGATTTCTAGAAATGACTTTGCTAACATATTTGTAGAAGACACCTGTTTGGAAAAAGAAAAAAAGCAAGGTAATACTTTCAAATACATATTTAACTCATAATGAACTACACAACACAAGGAGTCCCTCAAATATTTAATTATTTATTGCAAACATTTTTATGGCAATCTTCAAATATCTAAAGGAATTTTCTTTAATTTCAATTTTTAATTTTCACTTTATCTTACAATCCCCATTTTTAAGCCATTTTCGTCAAACATTTCCATCACCATTTTGGGCGAAATGTTGAATCTGCCAATGTTGCCAATCTGCAGAGGTCAAAGTTGGCACTGCAAAGTAATTTGAAAAGTACACAACATTGGGCAACTGGAGCAGCTGCTGCTGCCAACTGCTATTAACGGTAAATGACTGGCCTAATTTATGCACCTTGGTCCACACCCACACCCACACCCACCCACATAGACACACACACATGCGGTAGTAGTGAGGGGAATTACAATTGTATCGCAGTCAACATTTCCATTGCCATTTCCATTGCAGAGGAGAAAAGGGGGAACAACGCCGCAATGCCGTAACTTGATGGAATAGCTAAGCCGAAAGCCAGCCGCACAGACAGGACTCGAACTCAACCGAAACTACTGCCCGCAGTGGCAGGACCAGGACCCCCATTCCATTCGTCATCCATTCAGAAGGGCGGGGGAAATTGCTTTACACAATAGAAACGCACGAAATGACAATATAAATCGAGGGGCGGAACTAATTTTGGCAAAAGACTCGAAATAGGCCGGGCACGACCACAAAAACCAAAATGATGATACTTGAAGGGGAGCCCTCCCATGGCATACGACAAAGTAAAAGAGGAGGAATGCACAAGAAGAATTTAGTATAAAACAAATAGAATATATCAAATCTTGAACTGACTTTCAATACGTTTCTAAAGTAATTTCTCGATCTGCAACTATGAAAACTCATAGAAAATACAAGTAACTACTTGGACAAAATATTTAAAATTTTTAAGTCCGGCTCGAAGGACCAATATTCCCAACGGGGTGACACAAAGATCCGCCTAGAATGGAGGGAATTCCCTGATATATTTACCACATGGAAGAATAAAAGTATTCTAGATTCGGTGATAGTACAATATATATTTGGTGACTTGTACTAACTTTGATAGTGTGCAGAGCATAACTTCAGATCGATGTACTTAATTTAACTACACGAAAGCAGAAAAATGTCGTTTATCTTAAGCTCAACGTCAGAGAGAAGTTGAGAATAACGGGTTTTCGCAGGCTAATAAGTTAATAGATTAACTTTAATATATATACTTTAAAATATACATCCTTCACAATGGCTCAAATTCTTTATAGCACTTGAATTTATATATTACTAACATACAACATATTTTCTTCTTGTGTAGAGACCTCATTGGGGTGTGCAATTTCAGCTGGTGCTCCGTCTGAATTGGCCAAAATTAACGCAACGAGTAGAAACTTTCTTGTATACGGAAATTGCGTAACTACACATTAATGAAGAAAAATTGCAGTACGTGGAACGAGAGGGGTTGGAAAACTAACTCCTCCACTCATTTCCAGATCCCCAGTTGAAAACAGGCAGCAACTAACGGGGAAAACTTTCGGAAATTGGACGACACTTTAGCCATAAAAGGCCTCTGATTTATGCCAATTGAAGCTCGTCCCAGGTAAACTGCCTCATAATGAACTGAAACTCTGAAATGAATCCGATGCCAGAGGGTGATTATCGCATCTTCCACTGTGGCCAGTAGTTAAATGGATAGGAGGTATGTGGGATTAGCAGGCCGCTTTGATCATCATCGTCATCTAATCATTTATTATTAGCAGACCTGAAGTCCAGCCTCCTCCCCCAGACTTTCGTAATGCTTTTATGGCCGTCATTAAATCCTTGATCGGACAGATGGAGACATCTTCCATTTATAGCCTTGGAGCCGGCTGTTTTTCCAACTATAATCATCGTTTATCATCTGTCGCCTAATTAATTGTAAAGTTTTTCTCTACTTACTTTTTGAAATCTTTTGCGCCCATTAATATTGTCACAGATGTCGTAATTGCCGGGACAACGGGCGAATGATTAATACATCAAAGTTTTGCAGTAGGAAATGCTAAAGAAAGTCGGCATGGAGTAGGATTGGTCAAGGAACAATTAAGATAATATTAATATTCATTTTATTAAATAATGTTATTTAACATATAACAAGATGGGGAGTGTAAAGAGAGTTTTAGAAATTACTAAACAATTTTTACATTTTTAGATTAGTAATTTATTTAACCTTTTTCGAGAATTGATATTCTTCTTATTTTATTTTCAATTTCATTGAGCTCAGTTTTTAACTTTAAAGACCCTTAAAACGGACTCCCCCTTCTTCTTCTCCCACTGAAGTTGGTGACGATTTCAATTTATAAAATTAGTTTAATAATATTAATAATATCATCACTTGGCAGCATCTCCAAATGGAGGGAGAAGGTTGAGAACAAAGCTGGAACTCCGCCGCCATAAGCCGGCTTTGGTTTTGGCTTTCGACTTTGGCTTTGGCTTGGCTTGGCTTTAGCATTTTTGGTCATAGTTCAACGCGTGCAAGGAATTTGCACAAAGGCGTCAAGGCAACCCGGAGAAGAGGCTCGTCGTCATCACTGCCCATCCTTGAGAACGGCCGACTTACAAAATGTTCCCCTCCCGGAGGCTTATGCCCATTGTTTGCACTGTGTTGCCAGTGCCAACCATCGGCATCAACATTATGCAGAAGGCTCCCGGGCTAAGATCTGGCCACAAGTTATAAAACTGGAAGCCTGGTGGCCCCACACACATCCCCCATTCTCCATCCCCATCCCTTGCCCTCAATTCATCTAACAAATTTCTCTCTCTTTGTTTAAATTTTGCGCGCCGGAAATTTGCTTATCGCCGCTTTTCAGTTGTGGCTGTGAATGCCAGTGGAGGCGTAAAAAAGGGGGGCTGGGGCCCATGTTTTTAGAGGGGGACCAAAGTCAATAGGGAGATTAGTGCGGCGGGCATTGAGCCGGCACAGAGCTGTGCTAATTGAGCGACGGGTCATGGCAACAGCTTAAATCAATAGAACCAGCGCCCAGGCTTCATTCCATATTCCGGCAAAATGAAAGAGAAACTTTTCAAGGGCTTATGCGGCACATAAATAAAGAATAGAGAGATTAAAGACTATTATAAAAATGTGTGACATTTAAGGTTGAATATAAAGTAGATGTCTGAGAAATATTATACCAACTATTATCACCCGGAGAGAAATATTAAAAAAGGTTCTGCATACTCTCATTACTTGTGCAAAAAATACGAAATGGGTTCTTATTTCAATAATTAAAACTTTTAACATATAAACAAAAATTTCAAATAACCCTGAAATAGTTCTTAAAGAATGTGGCAATGCTTTAAATATTATTTATTTATTAAACAACACTAAGATGTTTAAGCAATATACTTACACTTCATTTTCCAAAATATTCTTTTTAATGTTGCAATTATCTTTCCTATATTAAATCCAAAAATCAACTAAACACTTTATCTCTGTATTTTTAACACTTTATTGCTTTTTTTCAATATCTCATTAACAGATATTTTATACTTTTCTCCGCATAAACATTTCCCCTACAAAATTCCCAGTCCGAGACCGCCTGGTTTCTTGCCTCTGTTGCCGCCGCCACCGCCAGTTCCAGCAAGACCACCCAATCCCAGGGTGTTGCCCACTCCGCCCAATGTTTGACCCAATCCTCCGCCCAGCTGTCCCAAGAGATTACCCAATCCCGCACAACTTGTGGAGGTCAAGGGGGAAAGTGAGGCACCCAGAACGGACAGTTCGCAGAAGCGGAAATCATTGGAGGTCTCCACTTTGGAGTGGATCTTTATGAATGGCGTGGCCTTTCCAGTCACACTCTGAAATAGTGACGAACTCTTGTCATCCTTATTACTGCCTCTATTGGCAAACTGAACCAGAATATCAATGAGGTTATCCCGGACCTGGAGATCCTCGGAGCTCGTCAGGCGGGTCTCCTCCATGGGATTGCCAAAAATATCATTAGCATCGAACATATAACCAAGTTCATCGCCATGACCCACTGTCTCCGGTTTATCGTTGGCTGTTTCCGAGACAATGGGTAAGCCTCTCAGGAAATTAATTCCCTTTGACTTGGTTCCATTGTAATCAAAGCTGTACATAAAAGCTGGAGCGAGCTTTGACCAAACCTGAGTGGTTAGAACTGCTGGTAAATTGAACAGAACATCCGTGGTGGACTCCACCACCTTAGACAGAACCTGATCCACATTCAGGGTCTGAGGCACCTTCCAGACGTCCTTAAGTGTGGGCGTTAAAACACTCGTTAGTCCCGGAAGTTTCGGCTTGGCAATCTCCCCGGTTAACTTGTCGATCCTTAAGAAACTAGTCAACTTATTCAAAGAATCACTGAGAGAGCCCAGGAACTGTTCCGCAGAGCCAAATACTTTCTCAATATTCTCCACCGTCACGGAGTTGCTTGTCTCGTGTTTCGTCACACCTGTGAGCAGGGGAATCCCCGAGAAATTGTTGTTCTTCAGCTGCTCTTCCGGTTCACCAACTATGAGGCTTGGCAAAGCTCGGCCATCGTCCTCGCTTTCGATGTGCGGCTGGAAGCCAACATTTCCCGTGAGTCCTTTTACCAGGGCTCGTCCTGCTAAACGTTCAGTTTGAACCTTGTCATCATTCCGAATGATCTCTTCGGCGCTTTTCTAAAAGAGAAGATTTACACTTAATTAAAATTTATATTAAGCAAACCCCTTTGCAACTTACTCCTCTCATGCAGTTGACAATCTCCAGTTCATTGCCAGTGGGACAACCATTAATAGTGGCCACCTCCTGGACACTCTGAACGGGATCGTTATCCATGGCGTATTGTGATAGGGCAGTTCCCGACATGGCCACCACTCCGTGAACATCACTAGCACTCTTTGCCGTCGGCGACATCGAAAGGTACATGGCACTAGCTGCTCCTGAGCCGTGACCAATGGCCTGAATCTTCTTGGGATCACCTCCGAAATAGGAGATATAATCGGTGACCCAACGGAGCGCAGCAGCCAGATCGAACATGGCTAGGTTACCATCGAACTGCTTGGTGCCATCACCCATGATTCCCAGAGATCCCAGGCGATATTGGGGAGCCACCACAATGGCACCCCTTTGAGCCATGGGCGTGGCATCGTACTGGGCAGCGGAGCCATATCGATAGCCACCCGGATGGATCCACACGAACACCGGCACACCCGTACTCTCATCCGGCATCTGCGGGGTATACACGTTGAGCAGCAGGCAGTTCTCATCTCCGATAATTCTCTGGGGATTCTGCGGATGTGGCTGAATGCAGGGTGGACCATGCCGGGTGGCATTGAAGTCTCCTCCGAGTCTCTTGTACACCGGTCGGGAGTATCTCAGGGGGCCCACGGGTGGCTCCGCATAATGCATGCCCAGGAAACTGTAGATACCCGTATTGGGATTCCGGAAGCCCTCGACACGGGCATCGCGATTAAAGAGCCTGGCGAAAACCACGGGATCATCGACCGGTGGGGCCTTCGATTGCTTGCCGCCAACAATCCGTTTCACCCGAATATGCGAATCTTCTCCAGACCTGCACCTCGCCAAGGTCACTTGTAGTATCAGTAGTAAAAGCAGCGAAAAGTTCCGCCTCAGCTGGTTTTGCATTTCGACTCGCTCGATTGTCAACTGGGAACTGAGCTCACACTATAGTCCCAGTCCCAAGCCCAGCTCAAAAGCTGAGCAAGGCTGACAACTTGCTCAGCTCGGCGATAAACAGCAGCGGGAAAAAATAAAAAACTGAAATGATAAAAAACAAAACAAGTAGCGAAACCTAAACTTTTGCGGCCGCCTTGTTTGCGTTTGCGTGCCTCCAGTTGGATAAGACCATGTTTGGGGCAGCGCTTCTCCGGCATTCCAATCACGTACTTTACGCCAGTTATAGTTCACTGAGTCACTGAGAATCTGGAATTAGCTTGGGGATATTTGAACAACTTTTCAGCAAACACTACATTAAAGCGCCAGCGTTACATAATCTCAGAAATATTATTATTCCTATTACATATTAGGATAGTAAATAACAATTCAAATTCCCTAGGCCAATGTAATTTTATCATAAATGCTTATATACAAATTTAAATTTATCTTTAAGCAAGAAAACAAGTAACTTGAAGTTATCCGAACCTGTTTGTAATCAATATTTAATTTCTCCTTAACTTGTAACATTTGAAGATTGATGTCTCTTCTTAGTTGTTGATTTGAAGACTGACAATTAAATCGGCGACAATTCGCTTGCATTTTGTTATTACTTTATTCCCAACGTAAGCTCTCATCTTCCCCGAAAGTCACTGTGGTGAGGCTTCTCATTGGCAAACTGGTCAGTTTGGTTTTTCCCATCGCATTGTAGTTGCTGTTCGCTGAAATTCAATTACATGAGCACAATAATGATGAGACTTTAAGGCCGACAGCGGTCATTGTCTGTAAATGGGAATCGGGGAAGCATATGGGTCCACAAATGCCATATTTTACAGCTGTTCCGCATTAACTTTTGCCCACATGAATTATATTCTTCAGCATATTTACAGCTAACAGAATGGAAAAGGAGGCAAGCCGGAAACGGAAGCTGGCGAATATTATGGGGCAAACGCATGTTGAGATTTCTAGTTTCTTGACCCATACCCCCCGGCCTCCTTAGAGTAAAATAGAGATAGTTCCCAACCCCCAGGACTCGTCTCCGGCCGGGGGATTAGGCCGGAGAACGAAAGAGCGGCACGCGCTCCTCTAACTCTAACTTGCAACACTCTGCCACATGAATCTCAATGTTGTGTTGTCCAAGGGAGTCGGCCACGTACGGCGGCTGATTTGTCCCAGTCTCGGCTCGAGTCATCTCTCTTTCCTCCTCGTCCTTGGGGGACATCTATCTCGGTCTCTCGCTTTTGAACTCATTATTACACTGAACACAATAGTTGGTATAGATGAAGTTATATATATAAACCCTGAGTCTGCCTTCATGTGAAATTGTTTTGACATATAATATCATTATGTATGTACATATGTAGTTTAAATACTATTCACAGAAATCAAATTCAATGTCAATGCATTGGCTTAAATTAAAATATATTAAGGTATATAAGTAATTTATATAACTTTAAGTGCTACACTATCTAAAACAAACAAATACGATTCCAATCAAAATTAAACTTTAAATTAAAGATCCCAAGGCAATTAATCGGACTATTCGTCTCATATAATACCATAAAAATTAATAGTATAGATAGAATGATATAAATTATAGTTTATATTCCAATTTATTAAAACCTTTTTAAGAAAACCCCAAGAATTTCTTAAAGTGCACGTTCGACCGCTCTCTGCTCTCGCATGTGTCACAGACAATGGCCAAATGACATTTAAAGTTACGACAATATAATTAAGTATACTACTGGGAGTTGACGCCAGCCCAAGCAGACGAGGAGCTAAAGCAGGAGTCCTTGCCCTGGCCAAGGAATAATTATATATGTATGAGGAGTGGGAGTTCCTGGCCTTCGGCTCCTCGCCTGATTGCTTCCAGAGGCGTGCAACACTTTTGCAGCACGCAAAGTTTGCCCAGATGCAAAGGCTCTCTGAGCCAGACCAGAGTCCAATGTCAGATCCATTTTCCGACTGGCACGCCTCAGCGTTTAACGAGATTAATCTTTTTTGCCTGACCATCTCGACCGATTTCACTGCAGGCCATCCTGGCCAGAGTGAAGTCCTTAAAAAGTTATTAATCTTCGGGGCTATCGAGTAAATATTTTCCTTTTAATTGAGTTTAAATGCAACCATCTAAGTGATTTGCATAAAAGTTGACAACTGGCTAGAAGAGAAAAGGTTAAAAAAAATTATTTTGGGTTTTTCGAAGCAGAAAAAGGGAGCTCATACTGAAGGTGGATCATACGTGACTATATATGCAATTATGACATGCAAGATTGAATTTTAATTTGATTTTGGGAGAGACAAAACCTCACACTATGTTAACGTATATTTTGTAATTTAAAAACTGTATCCTTTTTGAAGGTGTTTAAAAAATAAACTTGGGTGTTAATGGACCAGAGTTGTTTGCAAGACAGCTAAGTCATATTTAGTCTTTTGCCCAAATAAATTTAATTACTTTTATAGATTTCATAGATTAAAGTGCTTTATTCTCCCATTTAATACCTTTAGTTTTCATATTTATTATAGAGAAACATTTCATCTGATCATTACTCTTCGGCTTTCGAAACTTGGATTAATTATCTTGCTGTATATTTGTCCAAGTAACACATTTTCCCAGCCCAATTTATCTTTATTTTTTATTTTCCATGTTGCATGTTGTGTGCCACACGCAACGCCCTAGGATTTTCCCAGTTTTTCCCGGCTTTTCCCTCCATATTCTGGGGATTGCGTGTGCCATGCCCATAAGTGCGTGGCGGAGGCGTTCGTGAAACTTAGCGCCAGCTTCCCAGCTGCTGCTGATGCGATTTTGATGTGCAAAATATTAATTATAAAACAATAATTGAATTGTGCTCGTGCTCTTGGCAGCTGAGTGAGCGTCGAAAGGTGAGCGATTTTCCCGCTTTTCTCTCTCTTTCTCTGTGGGAAATCCCCCCGCACACGCAAAAAGTTCATTATGCTAAGGCAATTTTTCTTTGGCATCTGTTGGTGTTTTGTTGGAGGGAAAGAAATTAGTTTTCCATGATTGCTTATTAATAGAATAAATCAGAGTTTCATAAGTGGATTTTATCAGGTGGCTAAGCTGGGTATCTCGTTAAGGAAGGAAATACATACATAATTGCTTTCATAATTATTAAAACAGCTGCTGCAGAACCGTGTAGAATATGTAATTAAAATAACTCATTTCAGACAGATTTACATGTGTAATACGCATTAAAGTCCACATTAAATCCCTTACAACTTTCACTACTTGTTCTGGCAACGCATCCTCTCGGGCTGCGTAAAATCTTTAAATTATTTTTTTACAAAAATCCACGTCCCCAGTCAACTATAAAAAGGCACAAGAGCGTAAATAATACAAAAAAAAAATACATATATACGTAAATAATAATAAATAAATATGAAAATATTGCATCAAATGGACGACCAACCCACTCTGGTTGGTAAGGAAAACAATATACGACACGTGGGGGGACCACAGGACAAAAAGTAGAATCGGAAAACAAAACAAAGTTAAACCCAATACATTAATGGTATTTGCATTTGTACTGATTTTATTTGGTTTTTATTGAATTGATAAAATCACAACGAACAGGAGAAGCGAACCAGAGCCGAGGGCTGCTCCGCCTCGTCCTTGTTCTCCTGTCCTGTTATTCCTCTCCACTCCACTCTACTCCTCCGACTGCCAATTTGATATTCCGATTGCAATTTATGTGCTCCCCATACCACACACACACTCCCATAAGCCGATTGTGTATGAGGGGAGCATCTCTGTGATTCTTTTCACTCCCTCCCCCCTGTTCGTCCTTGATGGGAGCTTTGTGTTTAAACATCTGCAATATGCTGCGTGTTCCGGGTAGCTGAAAACTCCGGAATGGGGCGAAAATGTTTTGGGATCACACATTGCAGTCAGGCCAAGAGATTGAGGATTGTGTGAGAGAGTGTGTGTGTGTGGGGTGTTTGTGTGTGGCATTCAATTACATTTGTATATGTGCAGGACAGGGATGAGATCGTGACTGGAAGTTGTGAAAGAAACAATATTACACCAAAATATGGCCATCACATATAATTAATATACAATATTATAATCACTTATTAAGGAAATTTACTCATACAAAATATAAGACGAAAATAATGTAAATCTTATAAAAATTAAGTGAAAGACATTTCCCAAAGCTAACAGTTGGTTTACAGAATTGTTTAAATGTTTTTATTATTATTCTTCTTCTGAACTTTCCTTAGAATAAAAAATTATGAGGTACAATTTAAAAAGTTTAATACTTATAGAAACTTTAATAAATAGTGGTGTTTCTGACTTTAAATATATTGTAACTTCAGAATTTTTCTATTTCTGAGCAAGAAAAATAACAAAGGCACTAGATGTTAACAAAAAATATTAAACTTCTTGTAATATTGTATAAGAAATAGCTCTGACTAAAACAATATTAATTTAGGAATTAAATTATTTAATTCATTTAAGGAATACAATATGAAAATACGTTCTGTGAGGCCAGGCAAAGAAATTGCCTGAGTGGAGAGTCAGGTTCTTGTGCAATATCTTTTAAATACTAATTAATTTATTAGTCAGTTAAATTATATATAACACTTTTGTTCTATAAAAGTTATTTCCAAAAATTGAATAAATATATGTTTTTGTTACCTTACCTAAAAGACCTAAGTTAATAAAAGTGAAAGTTTATTTACCAAACATTAACAGTAAAGAAAGACAAGTAAAAATTAAATCCAAAGTAAGAACTTAAATACCCTCATAAGAACTGATCATAGATACTAAAGTATTTTTATTTATTTTTTATTTATAAACAGAAATGCTATTATTGGTAATGTTCAATCACGATGCCATCTCTGCCGAACTTGGTCCATACGTAGACGCGTGTTTATTTGGCACCACAAATGCGTTTCCTCTTCTGCGGATCGCAGTGGGTTAAGAGGTGGTGGTGGAGGGTGGAGGGTGGAGGGTGGAGGGT